GATAGATAGATAGATAGATAGATAGATAGATAGATAGATAGATAGATGATAGATAGATAGATGATAGATAGATAGATAGATAGATAGATAGATAGATAGATAGATAGATAGATAGATAGAATCAGTTTTTCAACATTATGCAGGAAGTCAGGAAAGAAGTTTACTCATATCGCAGGTATTAGTAAGAAAAGTGAATTACAGTAGTGCAGCAGCTAACCCACCACCAAAAGATCTGCAACAGAAATGCTATTTGGGAGTGGGGGGGAGGAATCTATTTTTCAAAGACAATAATGATTGATTCATTTGCTGATAATTCCACTATAATGAATATACTATCCTAAAGAGTATCATAGTTATTCCTAGAAATGACTTGTTTGAAAACAAGAGTATTAGCAGAAAGCAAGAAATTGTTTCAACAACAGCTGATCTTTAAGGATTACTTCCAAGGGACTAGACTTTGTTTACCCTAAAGATGTATATTTCCTAACCTTCAAACAGTTGTTATACGAGTTACCACCAGGGCAAAGTGCATATAACATGCTTTTTCTAGCTCAGTTGGGGGAGTTCCTGAGGAGTAAAAATTAGTCAAGCCCCTCTGTTGCAATTTTTTTTTGATTAGATAAAACTACCTAATCTTTATATTTTAACTAAGCTCTCTGAAATATATATGTTTGTTTGTTTTCAATGAACAGAGGAGGAGAAACCCTGCAAAAACTGAGAATGCCAATCCTTAGGCATTTTCCCCATGTTCCTCATGACTTTTGTTGGGTAATTTGTCAATCCCAACAAAAATATCATTGTGGCTGGACTGGAAACTGGACCATTTTTCTAAATATAGCACCCGGCCCACAGACATATGTGTAAAATCTGTAACTGTTAAAATAATCTGAGCTTTACTGAATACTAGGTATAAAAATAGTGCATATATGAATCTGTTTTTCCCAGTTGTTCAGCCTAATGAGAAGACATGGGGGAAGAGAACTAGAAAAGTTCGTTGGAACATTTAGAAATCAAATGGTCTTTCCCCCCCCGCCCCCTCTGTACTTAGCAGTCAAATCCTTGAAACTGTTCCCCAGTCACTACCCTCAAATTCAAGAAGAGGGAAACCATTATTCTAATTGTAATTCTGTATTTTAATGGAAGCATCCTCCACAATCTGTTGTGTTTGTGATTCGTAGGAAAGAAGCATCTGACATGTCAAAAGCCAATAGCACTAAATGCAAGAACTTGGAGGTAAGCAAGCATCATTGTAACAAGGTAAATTGAAAAAGCTGGAAGTGGACGGTTAGGCATTAAAAAAAGATTCCAGAGCACTTGGGCAGGGTTAGGCTGCATTGCATGGAGGCTCCAAAAAAAAAAAAAAAGCTCCCAGAGGGAATGCCTCTTTTACACAGAATGCTGCATACAGGCACGTACCCTGGAAGTGTAAGTCAAATGCAGAGTGTTTATCCTGGAAGTAGCAAAGAATAGAAATAAATCAGACATTAAATGACAAGGCTTTGAATAAGGAATACTCTCCTCCGTAGCTCAGTCCCTTCTTGTCCCAGATACCAAAAGGCTTCTAGGCGAGAAGGGCGATGTGTTACAGTCTGGGAGGAAGAGGAAGAGAAGGATTCCCAGTATAAATGAAAGGATAGCTTGGCAGAAGGAGACGGTATGCAGAAGCGGAAAGCCTGAGGCAAGCTTCTCAAAAGAGCAGATGGAAAATCAAGCAATATATTCTACCGCCTTCCCCACATGGGCAAGGGGGGAAGCAGCACCCACTGTCCCTCAGGTACCTTACCCTCTCAGCCAGAGGTCCCCCACAGGATGAGGAAACCCATTCTTACAGCAGCTACAACAAACTCCCTCAGGGAAGGGCTTTTAATATTTCACAGTTGCCTCATGGTCTCTCCAGGGAAGGGGCAGGATCAAGACTGATTATGGGAGATCCACTGGTTGTCAATGGGGCGCCTCAGCAATTCCTCCACATGTCGTGCCACATCCATTGAATCATCCAAGTCGAATTCTCCTTCTGGATCCAGCACTGAATCAGGACTGAGAAAGAGAGAAAGGAGCACCATGAAAAAAACTCTGAATTCTAAAAAAAAGCTATTTCTTAAAACTTTCTTAAGAGGCTATTTGGAAGAGGCTCTAACAATCTGATTTTAGAAAAATATGCAGTCCTCTCCAACTCATTCATTTCCCCCTCCATTTTAGAGACGGGAGGGGGAATGACTTTTCCTAATTCCTTACATTTTTAAAATCTTCACGGATATGACTTTTTATATTTTCATCTTTGTTCTTACTAGAGAAAAACTGACAAATGGGATACCCTATTCCATAGGCAAGATGAAATGTTGCCCGTAGAGTTAAGATAACAAACTACAGTTATAGAAAAAGCAGATGGGAAAAGTCTGAACTGAACGAATTTACCATTTTTGACTGTGATAAGTGGGTATAAGATCACTTTTAAAAGATGATCTTTTACATTAAAAAGAAACACTGTGTAAATAAAAAAAAACTTCAATAGGAAATGGTAAGTTATAGTGCAAGGTGCAGAACCTTTGTTGATTAAAGGAGTGCAAAATGACTTGTGTAGAATGTTTGGACACACTTCCAAAGTATACATGTTCCCAAAGACAGGAAACATATGGGGAAGGCATTGCAAGAGTAAATGGGTGTCTTAAGAACCTGTAAAGCTTAAGGTTATTTTTATTTTATTTAGCCCTAAAAATCATTTTCTAAGTGGCAAAATATCCTCTCCAAAGGACTCACATTTGAGTTCCATACATTCTGGGGAAACTCTGGGGATCATAAGTGAGATGTTGTATGCCACATTTTTTGTGCCTCTTCATTTTCTCCCTGTTCATTATTTTTCCTTTCTGTACAGGGACAGCATTCAAAAATAGAACACCCACTATAAGTCCATACAACCTCTGTCCATGAGTAGCAGTAATCAATTGGAGATTTGAGTTGGCAGAACTATCTTTCCAATGCTTGCCACTGTGATGTCTAGAGACATATCCCATGCTATGTCCTTCTCACAAATCACAATGTTCTCCAAATAGCTGTTTAGTGGTAATTTAAATTAGGATATTTAGGGAAACTCTCACCAGTGGTATCCCCAAAGGGAACAAGGGGCTTGTCAAAACGATGCAAGCAGCACTTCAATGCAGGTATTATCCCTTTTCTGAGTGCATCAAGAAAGTGGTGACACCCAGCACAATGCTCTGAGACTGCTTTCATTATTCTGATGAAAGCAGCAAGAACCTAAAGAGAGACTTTTGTCTCTTCTCAAATACCACTCTTCTTATTAAGAACATTGCTATTCTTTATATTCTTAATATTATTCTTATTCAGGGGATTGAAGAACTCAGTCTGTTCCAACCCCAATTAACTGGGCAGTGATATGATAGCAACCTCTGTCTTAAAAGAAGATTAGGAACATGCAAACAGAATATTTATGTTGCGAGATTAGTATGTTTTCAACTATAAAATGCAAGACCTCTATAATAGCAGAGAACTTTCAGTGGCAAGGGTCTTGCCTCGCTTACTTTTGTGTGTACATGTTGTAGTGAGGAGCAGGAGGGCAAACAGCCGGTGATGATGCTTGTTCCATGTAGGAAGTCCCTGCACTCATAGAATCTCCTGAAGAGGCAGCAAACCTACAACAGATGGAACCAGAAACAAATATTTTTGCCTGACACCAATGGATTCTTCAGTGGTAAGAAATACATAAACTCTTTGAGGTTGTTTTTATGGAAAGTGTGAATACACATTTCAGATTCCTTCCTTGATATAAATATCCACACTTGCCCTGTATAAAAAGAATCAGAAAGCAGAGACATAACTGCACAGAGAACCCAAACTTCTTTTTTTAGAAAGTGCAATCATCAAGCTACAACACCTTAACATTATCAACATTTTCTCATTCCTATCTTTGTACTGAAGCAAGCAAAATGGAAACCCAATTCATGTTGCTTGCTTCAAGTTTTTAAAATCATAAATCCTCCTCGGGAGGTGCAAGATCTAAAGCTGAAGATGAGGGTGCTAACACAATTATTGCACTTCTAGCTGAATAGTTAACTGAAAAGAGAGCTGAGGAGAAAAAAAAGAATCCCAGTTGAAAATAAATAGCTACCACTTCTTCCTTATTTCTCTCTCCCTTTAAAAAAATAAAAATGCATTTTCGAAACCCACAGTACTTACTCTGGCACAACTTGTTTGATCTGTGGCTTTACATATCCATCTATAGCCTTTGCTGCAAAAACAAGGAGTTGGGGTATGTGAGAGAGAAGCATATAGTTACTATATAAGACAAACTTTACATAGGAATCCCTTTTGGAAATAGTAGCAATCTGATATTTTTTTTTATTTTAATTACATGCATGCTGAAGCCCTTCCCCAAGGAGGAATGAATGAATTTGGCTTGTTTGTTTTGTTTGTACAATATTCTTTCCAAAAGCTACACCATTCCCTTTCCTTGTTGATCTGCAAATCTTTTACTGAGAAAAACCCATGCTGAAGATTTGCATATAACTATATTTCAAAACTACTCAAAATAAATAAGTAAATTGAAACAGACTTTATCCTTGTCAAGTATTCAATTGTAAAAACAATCACTACCTGGTCATTAAAAAGAACCTTTGTAGTCATAAAACTAGTCATGAAAAATATCTGTTTTGCTTCAATTAATCATCTTTATCATTATCTCGTCTTTTAGATAAATATGCAGTTCCAGTCTAGCTGTACCACTGCCTTCTCTCTTTGCATTAGCATTTACCTCTCTTTTTAATAGTGCATTTTAAAAACATTTTCTGGTAGTATCCTGTAATACCAGTGATGTTTCTAAAATTATATATGTCATTGTAACACAATGTAAATGGCCAAAGGAAAAAGGATTTGAAATTGTTGGGAATGAAAGAATCATATGTATCCATTGAAAAAGACAATGATAATAATTAAGCACTCTCCTGAAATTACCTGAAGTGATTGGCATATAATATTTGGAGAAAACATCTTCCTTGGGTCTGTCAGGATACACAAAAGTGAGATATGGAAGATCACCAAGGCGGTCTGCCAGGGAGCGGATGGAGAAGTCACGAGTGGTGAAGGGCATTAAGTTCCAGAACATTCTCTCAGCTGCAAAAACCCGAGATCATAATCAGATAAAAGAATATGTGCTCAATATGTAGAAATTATCCTGCAGACTTTCAAGATATTTCTATGAATTGCAAGAAATACAGAATATTCTTATAATAGATACAGCAGGAGAAACCCAGAATTCCAGCAACAACAGGTAACAACTGAATATTTTTTATGCCACATCTGTTTTGAAAAGTTCTGATCCAATGTTCTCATGGTGGTCAAAATAGGCATTAATGTTGTTGAAAACTTACCATTTTCAAACTTCCAGGCAACTGTGATCCCTCCAATTTCAGAGTCACTGAACCTCAAGAGGAAAGTTCCATCTGGTTTGCTGATTAGCAAATCATGTGCTTGTTGCTTGTTGATAAAACCTAGAATAGCCCTAGAGAAGTGGAAATGATAGAGGCAAATCAGCCAGTAAAGTATTTAGACAGCAAAAAATAAATTGAAGGGGAGTGGGGAATAGAACTCTTACCCATCATTCCAGTGAGGTTTCAGATGTTTCTTCAAGACTTCCATCACTCCATCAAACCACTGCCAGAATGTGTAATTTCTCCCTGGAAGATTTTCCTGGTTAAATGAAAAGAAAGAAAATCATGGTTCTGGAATCTTTCTTTGGTTGTTAGAAGTCTTTATATTTTCTCTGATCCTACATTAGTATATTAGAGAAGGAATAGATTTATAGCAAAATACATAGGCATTCATATTCATCAGAAACTTAATACACATTCTTTTAAGTTTAGTAACTTCAAACTGATGGAACAAAAGTTGGAAACTTTGGAACCTCCATGGATTTGAATGACTAATCATGGGAAATTTTATTTTATTTTTATTTTTTATCACTGCACTATTGAATGACTCAATTTTTAAAAGAAATTCAGTTAGTTGCCTGTAATGTTGATTAAGTTATACAAAATGCATGCATGTAGTAAACTACATGTTTTACATACAGTACCCAAATATATTTCTGCTCATGCAAGAAGACAGTTCATATGGTGATATTACTAGACAGTATTTAAACTATTTCAAGAAGGATTTTGATGTATCTCTAATGAATTAATAAATTGAAGTTGTTCTGTAAGGAGGAATGTGCTAAACTTCTTACAAGCTTATGTGCAGGATTGATCAACAATTATCAGAAACATTTAGTCATAGCTATTTCGGTCCAAAGAGGTACATCAGTTATTGAAAGCAAAAGTTCACATACTTTTGCCCTACACAAATATATAGTTTTAGATCATTTTTCTCAATAAATAAATGAACAAGTATAATGTTTGATCATTTATTTATTTGGATTTTTATTATCTAGTTTTAAGACTTGTGTGGAGAATAGATTATGTTTTAGGCCACATTTATGCAGAAATATTGAAAATTCAAAAGGTTTCACAAACTTTTAAGCCTCACTTTTTATTTTTATTTTCACCTGATTGTGGGCATCTTTTATTTTGTTATTTTTGTATCATCTGTACATCCTAATCTGTTCCTCCCTCAAAATCACTTATACATTTAATTGATTAATTCATAGTCTGTCTTGAAAACAAGCAATCTCCAAGTTTAATGAGAGCCTATTTAATATCAAGAATGACCTCCGAGATAAGAAATTCAGAGTTCAAAACTCACTGTCTGACTAATATGTCTTTAATCTATATTATGCAAGAAATAGCATTCCTGAACTGTTGTCAAATACACACACACACACACACACACATTTATTCATTTGGTTTTTAATCTTGTCAAAACAGGTTTCCTCTCTTCTCACAGGTTATATGAATGAACTTTTCTAGCATGTTTAGGATTATCATTAAGTTTAATAGTAAAACTTCCTTATGGGTCTCCTTTCTGTGAGATAAATCAATGTTGTTCCCTTTTGGAGATCAAGGACTGAGATGAAGAGATTACCAACAAGCCCAAGAGAAAGCAAGCAACTGAACTCCAACACTTAGGTTAAGTTTTGTTCTCTTTATAAAAATATTTTTTCTGCATAAAGAAAAGGTTCTCAGTAAGACCACCAACATGTTAAGTTTTTTTTAATCAGCTGAGGGTTTACTGATTTTAAATGCAGATATGATCTTTTGAAAATGGCAGGGAATAAACCTGCATTCACATGATTTGCTAATTACTGTATCAGCTGCATGTGTAGCTCAAGACAATTCAGATTACATTTACAAGCTGAATTGTCTCTCTCTTTTAATCTCAAATGCAGATTGAGTAGCAGAGAGAAAAAGAGAACACATGACAGTGATGCAGATGGGAAATTTAAAAAAAAAACTGGAGAGAAAGTTATGGTGATGGAAAAGGCCTGCAGACCAAACTACTTCCCACAAAGAAGTGGTTTTCTGGCAAATCTAGTTGTTAATTGGTATCTTATTTACCCTGTTGAACTGAGCCCAGGAGACAGTCATATTGTTATAATCTTCCAGATGATTCATGTTGCTATTGAAGAGCTTTTGGGCGAGAAAGAGGAGGTTCTCTTTGGTGAGTCCACGACTGCTCTGGACTTCAGACTTGAACTTCATGTTGAGAGCCTCACACAACTGGGACCACATCACTTTGTCTGGCACAGCAAAGGGCACACGTCCTGGCTCTGCAAAAGCGTTGTCCCACAGCACTGTGGCAGTGGCATTATTATCCTGGCTGCCATGCACAATTACCACCACTGGCAGAGATAATGTCTTCACCTGGAATACCAGCTCATTGCCACCTACACTGAAATGAGACTCAAAGAGAATGGTGAACTTCTCCTCAGTCACTGACTCAGCACCACGACGATCTGAACGCTTGATCCGCTTCAAGGACTGTGGATGGATGAGATAACAGAGGGAGACACAAGAAATAGGAAATAGATCACACATTGTCTACAGAACACTCAAGACTAAAAACCTTAAACAGGAACAGGAACTCAACTCTATACTCAGGCAGATCATCCAGGGGAAATTTACTTAGCAACCTTACTTTCCACACCAGTTATTAAAAGCTAAATCTAGAATTAGTCTTTAGGAGATGTGGGACTACAATGGATGACGAGGCTTTCCCCCTTAGTTATATTTTCAACAGGAAAAACAACAGTGGGATGTGGAGCTGGAGGAAGATAGTGTGAATCAATGAAGACATCTCTCACCATGTTGCGGAAATGAGCACTCAGTGTTCCAGTTGCCTGATGATATTCCATGACACAGGAATTGTTCAAGATATCACCACTGGACTCACTGCCAAAAGAAAGAAATGGCAGCTAGTTGAATGCAAGCCAGTACGCAATTGGTGATTTAGTATCTCCCCACTGAGAGTGTTAATTTTGCACTATGGGGATGCCAATGATATGGCTTCATCCAGTGGAGATTTTTAGATTGGTTCTCATGGCTTAATAAAATCTGCTTTTCAAAATTCTGAGATCTATTACAAGCAAATGAATGTACAATGTACACTGAATTACCTAAAACCAAGCAGTCACATTTTGCTCTGTTGCCCTTGTCTTAATCCTTTAGGTTACCGTAAATGTTTTCTATAATGTTGATCAAATTTCTACCTCAGGAGAAAGTTTTCTCCAACCAAATACTGACAAACTGTAACAAGGATATAGGTAATGAAAGTTGGCTTAGTCACAGATTGTAAGAGCGGCAAAGAAGAAGTCAAATAAAAAGGCTTAAACCTTCCAACTCTGGGAGTTGTGTTGAAATTCAGACTAACTTTCTTGCCCCTAATACTTTAGTATCCTGAATAAACAGTAAAAATATCTAGATACCTTGACAATTTAATTTTCAAAGTTACAATGATTATGTTTTTATTTAAAAATATTAATGGCATATGTTTCTATGTATTAATTTCTACTCTTCACATCCTCTGACAGCTTTTCTTAGTGCAGCATCCTTCGGAAATGTTGGGGCTGGAAACACACACTTATGGTAAGCAGTAAGAAAGCTGCTTCAGGAGAAATGGATTCTTTCCTTCTTTTGCTTCCTTAGCCTGTAAGAAATATACATACTTGCGGGTACTCTCATTCTTCAGTAGGGCTTTGGCTTGCTGCTCACTGATGATGGTGGCCTTTACTTGTGGTGGGTTCATGTGAACATTTAACTTTCCTCCAACCAGCAGCCGTACTGTCGCTGCAAACTTAGTCTGAGTTTTTAGCACCTGTGGAGGCTGCTTTTCTATTATGAATGTGCTATAAGGAGAGAAGAGGGAGGAAAGACTAAGTCATTAGTTACAGAAGGTGGAAAATGCAACAATAAATGTGCTAGCTTTTATGACTCAGTATATACATCTCATCAGCAAAGAAAACAATGGCAAACTACAACCCACAATGAATAAAAAAAAACCACATCAATAAAGTACAGGTAGACTTTGACTTATGAACACAACAGGGACTGGAATTTTGGCCACTGACTAGGTGATATGGTCTTTCAGCAGGTCACATGACTGGATCCAATTTTGCAATCATTTTTACTGTGGTCATTAAGTGAATGAAGGAAACCCAGTTTCTCCAATTGACTTTGCTTGTTGGAAGCTGGCCGGGCAGATTGCAATTATATGATTGCTAGGCACTGCAACTGCCATACAACAAGAGCCCAAATTGTGATCACATGACTCAGGGGTGGTGCAACAGTTGCAATTTCGAGGATGGGAAATAGATCACTTTTTCTGAAGCCATAATTTGAACCCTCATTAAAGAAATGGTCCTAAATCAAGGACTAGTTGTACTCAAAGCAACAATCCACAACAGACAAAAGAAGTTGCGTAATAACCCACATTAGATAAGCAAAAAGGCTCTGACATGACTAGAACTCCAAAAGAACCAGAAATAGACTATCTATATAGCATATTCAAATGCAATAGATAACAAGTAACTTCATAAAAAAGCATTTATTCAAACAATCAACCCATCCCTTGAAAAGGAAAACTGTTGCATATCAAAAATATTTCAGTAACTACCCACAGATTATTACACACCCCTGTAGGAAGCACGTATATCTAACCACACAATCCTACCTAGTGACTAGCGCAGAAATTATGTCTGTTACTGTGCCATTAACATCTGAGAGCAACTCTTCAATTGGTCCAGGAATAGGAAGCTGCTGGTATAAGTGTTCAGCACGGCGTACTTGTTGGCGGTTCTGGCAAATGAATTCAGCCAGTTTTTCACACCTACGGAAGAATTGTATTCTTGTTTGTCAGAAACAACGAAGAATCCTGTGGCACCTGAAAGTCTAACATATTAATTCTTGAAAGACTGACAACTTTAGAATTAGGAAAAGAAGAGGGGGCATGTATATAAGGATTAGTAAGACCTAGGGAAAGGCATATATGATGGGAACACAAAAAGTCTTAGGGAAAATGATTCCAACACAAGACATATTTCCTAATGATGCCAAGACATGCTATCTTCAACCATTATGTTGAATATTTATGAATGTCATTTAAAAAAAACCAGACAAAGCTCAAACTGCCTAAAACTACACTCTGACAGCTACTTCAGATTACAAATTCAAGAAAAATATTGTATTATATATATGGGCTACCTTTTGCAATTTTTTTCAGTATCCTTATTGCTTATTATTTGGGTTCAATTAAGTTAGGATATTGGATCAATCCTACAATAATGTTGTTTTGCATTTCAAGAGATAATCATATAAAAACAAATGGCCCTGTCAAATTATGTTTGTAGTAGCCATTTATGGTTGTTAAATATGGTTTTTAATTTGATTATTTCATTTTGTTTGTGCGTTTTTAATATTATGGATATGCTGCACAATATAATTGTTGGATCAACCATGAATTTAATTTGAATTAACCATGAATTTAATTTGAGCCTGAAGACATAAAGATGAGGCAGGGATGAGGTTATTTTAAAAAGGGTTCCAAATTCAGATTAATAGTAATCTCCTTTTCTGGTCCCCCCCCCCCCCCCCACTCTATGGGTCAGGATGCAATCTTGAAAATTCTACAGAAAAGATATCAGGAAGTAGGGATTAGTTATAGCAGCCATTATGTTAAGCTGAATGCAAGCACTCTTGTGACATACCACTGGCAATATAACCTTCTCACAGAAAAAGAGTGAAAAATATTCAGTTTATATAGAATAGGATTCCTAGAAATCATTTACAGATATAACTTGCAAATAGTTGATTATTATTTGTTCAGTGACTGTGGGAAGTTGCAATGGTGCTGAATGAGTTGTACTTACAATTGCAACCCAAAGTTACAGCCACTGAAGCACATAATCACACTTGGCAGCCTGCCCACATTTATGACTGCAGAATGTGTTTAAACTCCCGCCCACCTGGCTATCTGCCCCCACTTCTGCCCTTTTGGTTGTCCTGCATTCTGCACTAGGAGGGCCTACAAGGGGAGGAAGAAGATGGTGAAGGTGAATTGGGGGTAGTGATGAGGACCAGGAGTAAGCAGGGCAGGGCAGGGCAACCAATAGAGCAGAGCTGGGGAGGAGATAGGTAAGTGGAGGAAGTTAAAGCAGAGGTGAGCACAAGGCAGAAAAGCATGAATTCAAGAGGTTTAGACTATGAGTGGTAGCATAATGATTTTAAGCTGATGACATGCTTAACTCCCTCCACCCCAGCTCTGTCTGTTCTTCTCCTACATCCTCTTTCCTCTCTAACCCATTTCCTCTCATGCTCTCTACCATGCTTGCAAGCCATCTAAAGGCCCCTCGGGAGGGCCACCATTTCCTGCCAGTTGCTGCCTCCTCTTCCACTGGATCAACTCATCATCCAAGATTATAGTCTGCTGCTTGCGAAGCAAAGCCAGTGTCTGCTGGTGCTTTTCAGCCAGTTCCTGAGGAGTACAAAAAGCATTTGGAATTTGATGTTAACAACAGCAACAACAAACACCTAATAGGAAAGAAAGTAGAAAGTCAGAATTAGGACTTGGGAGGATGGGACTTACTACACGATACTGTTGCAGTGTCTGAGCCTCCCGGTGTAGCCAAGCTTCCAGGGATGACTTCTTTTGCTGCAAAGTAGGTTCACGGACCATACGTTCCTGTGGGCTTAGCTGAGAAAGCTGACTAAATTGGGCTAGAAAAGGAAGCATAAAGTTAATCCTTGCCTTGAATTACCTCAGTCAGATCTCAACTCCCATGTACCCGAAGAGAGTTCCTTGGTAGTTTTATAGGTAGTCCTCAACATATTGCCCATTATGATTATATGTCATAATGGTTGTTAAACCAATTGATCACACAACTAACCCGCTCTTACAACATATTTTGTGGCAGCCATTAAGTGAATACCACAGTTGTAAAGTGAACATTGTGATTGTTAGGTGAATTCCACGTTCATTAGGCAAACCAGTGGTTCACTATAGATGCAGTTTTGCTAAAAAACAGAAGTGCCAGTTTTCAACAAAACCATTGAAAAACATGGTTATATGATGCTGCCTACAGTGAGTGCCTAAGTTCACATGACCATGGAGGGGGACTTGATCGTCAGAATCCAAGTTGTAAGTCCCATTTTTTTAAGTCAATCATAATTCTGAACAAACACTAAGTGACTGGCTATATGTCAAGGGCTACATGTATTACTTTCTTTTGAAATCCAGTTAAAGATCATTGAAAGGAATACTATCCATCCAGCTCACTGCACTTTGAATTTGTTCTGCAGAATTTTCAACTAGGCCTACCAGGAGATGCCAGAGTTGACATATCCAAATGTATGTTCTATTACTCCATCATGGTATGTTGGTATTCGTATTATGAAGACTTGGTATTAGTATTAGAACTACAATCTTGGAAATGACATACTATTCCTCCTCTACTCCCACAGATATACCTTGTAGATGAAGGCTCTCTTGGTACTGGATGATGAAATATTCCTGATGCTGCTGAAGCTTTTTCAGTTGGTTCTCAGTGTCCTGAGTGAACAGCCGTAATTCATCAAAAGTTTGGTTGATCTGAAGATGTTTCTGAGTCACGGCATCAGCCATGCTGCTGGCCAGTAAAGGGCTCTGTAAATATGGGAATTTAAGAATAGAAATGGTATGGATATTACCACCAAATATATATATATATCCATATTAAATATATAGGAAGGAGAAACATTTATGCAAAAGTAAATCATACTCACATTTCTAGCTTCTCGTACTAGACGTTGCTCGTGGTATAGGATGTGTCGGATACAGCGTACTAACTCCAGAGGGCAGTGTTTATATGTATTCTGTAAAGAAAGATTGAACAACCTAAGAATGGGAAACTAGCCTTTCACTTACAACAAGGTTTGAAAACACCATCTTTTACCTTCCAAACTCCCAGCCTCTGTAACTCACCTGTAGCTGAGTGGCGTAATGACCAAGTTTGATCTTTAGAAGGAAGCCGTCCTCACCCACTTGGTGGTCTGCCTTTTTTTGAAGTTCCTGGATCAGTCCGTCCAACAATTGTGCAGCTCTGACACCTTCCTGAGGATTGTCAAGATCTATAGAATCCCTGAAAATTGGGTCACAAAGCAGAGGGGTATGTGCAGAAAAGTAAGCACTCTATTGATAGTGCAACAAAGGCAACTTTCATTCAATCTGGATCAAAATGAGAAGGCAAAGGCAGCATATGTTGCCATTGCTGGACATTCATACAATGGGCAAAAACTCTAGGTAGTGTTTGAATTACAGCCACAAGCTGGAACCGTAATTTTGATCAATATGTGATATAAAATGTAATGTCATATGATTGTATTGCTTAATGATGGAGAAAACCTTATTCAAGACCAGAACAATACAGCTAAATAATATGCTTCCTGTGTAATGCAAGATAAAGGTTTGTTTCAACCATAAAAGATAAATATCCCATTCCATATCATCCCTCTGCAAGGCTGAAGATGCTGCTGGACAACCAGGTTTTCACTTTCACTTACCATGGCTGTGCCTCAATCCACTGGGAGAGGTAATGGCGAACCTCAATGGGGAAATGTTGTCCGTATAAGGCCTGCATTTGTCTAAGAGCATCTCCTTGAAGTTGTTGAGCTTGGATCCACACAGCCATAACTTAGCACCTCCTAATGAAAACAAGGGAAAGCATAAAAACATTGCTTTTGGGATTCTTTCCAATCCCTTAATAATAATGCTGCTCCAGGTCTGGTGGCTAAGAGTGAGGAAGAAACATTGCTTAGAAAGGAAAAGTCAATAGCATTCTTAGCCCAAAATTAAAAAAATGGTTATTTCTCCACAGTTTCTGGCTTGGCCCTGCCCATTTTCAAACTCCATCTTTATTTTGTTGCCTTCTCCCCAGATCAAATATGTGGTCCAGTTCTGTTCTGGTTTTGGAAAACTAATAATAACCTATAATAATAACAATAACAACAACAACAACAACCTGCTGATAAACATTTTTATATAATGTATTTCAAGTATTCTACTGTACTGCAATATTTGATTTAGGCTAGGCATAAACTGTTATATGTGCATTTGAACATATATCAATAATAGGGCTGTGTAACCATTCAGATTCAAACAATAAAAGCCATTTTGGAATACACATTGGTGTGTGTACATAGCACCTGCCTACAATTATTTTAAGCTTTTTCCTAGGGTTGTAACATGCACACTCTGAATCATTCTTTCCCCTTTAAATTTGGACAGCTGTCCAATCCCTCATCAATTTTTAAAAAGTAATCACACATCCCTTTCTCCCCTCTTAATCTAACATTTTAACATTGGTGAGGTAGATTTCTAGGAAGCAAGGGTTAAACTAGACATACAGTTTAGGAAAAGTAGAGGAAGTAAGATGTAGAAGAAGCAGGGGAAAAACAGCATCCTTTTCAGTTACATATTGATATTCTCTGTGAACATTAACTCAAATTTCCCTTTTATAATTGATTAAGTGCATTAAGTTATCTCTTACTCCTAGGGACTGCATAGATAGAAACAATGTTCTCTATGATGATTTGCTCCTAATCTGGTCTTTCATGTCTTCTAGTAATGCACCCATTGCCCGTGTAACTGAGTCCCCTCACCCTGCTACTCATCATTCTCTTCCCTTTCCTCTTCCCTTCCCAGCATTAGAACCTTTGTCTTCTTCATAAATTCCAATTAGTCATAGCAAACTGGAAACTAGGATTTTAAAAATTCCAGCATGAATACTTGTTTGCAGACACAAAGTACACTCATTTTGATGGCTTTATCAAATGGTGCTGAACAAGAGCAATATATTGGAATTCTTCCAGGGAGATTTTAAAATAAAATCAGGTTTATCACTCTAATTTTCAATTTTTTGCTGCCTCTGATATTTTAGAGAGGAATTGACACGAGATGAGATGATAAGCAGTCCCACACTACAAATATACAGTAACACAATGTGCTATGATGACGCGGAGCAAGAAGAAAATTGTGCAAAGACTTTAAATTGATCACATAAATGTACCATAAGGTATAGAGTCCAGAAGCCCAATAAATTACCTGATGTGGGAATTGAAGTGAAAGTTAAATTGTTATAAGCCACCTACAGTCACCTTGCAACAAGACAAATTTAATAAATAAAATAAAATGGCAACATTCCAGTTGCCATACCATACATTATACCATACATTCTTAGGTGATCTGGCCAAGGTCTTTTATATATCATTCATCTATGATGTTGTTATATAGATTTGGATCTGCTACCTGTCTGACAAAAGTTGCATTAAACATCAGACAGACTGCTGTGTTTCATTAGTGAGTCACAAGGCCTAACACAAGCCATTGCCCACAAGTAGTTACACTTCTACAATAGCAACTTGTGCCTAAAGCTTTTGTGGCTGTTTCCCAGCTGCCCTGACAGGAAGGAACAGTTTCCTTCCAGAACATCAGCTGTCCCCAGCAGCCTGCTTTCTCCCCCAATCATTCAACAGCAACACCCACCCACACGCTTTTAGGCGTCTAGCAAGAGTGCCAGAAACTACTGTTACTGAAAGAATGAGTTGAAAACAACAACAACACATCGCTTGATGTTTATTGTAAAGGCAAGAAAAAAACTAGGAATAAATAAAATAACAACTGATGGAAAAAGACAAAATCTCCTGAAATAGTCCCAAGTTTTGAAAATATTTGTTTTTAATATTCTGATTCATTTTAAGTCCAGTCTACTTGCTAAATTTCTTGCAAATTTATAATATATAAGTATTTCTTAGGTATTTCTTAAAAAGCAAGTATTTCTTGCTTGTTAAAATATCCAATTAACATGTTATTATTATTCACTGTTGGTTTACTATGTTCTTTACATTGAAAAATAACATAAAAAACCTTTGATCCAACAAAATCAAATCATTTATATCACAGAGTTATCCCAATAAGCAGGTATTCTAGAATAGTGCTAAAGATGGGATGTCACACTCATGTCGTCACAGCTGCATCATGTGACATATTGGGACTTCCCCCCCTTCACTAAACTCGGCGTGGGCGTGGCCAGCACGTGATGCATCCAGCCTGGGGCTGGGAATTTGACAGCCCTATGTTAATGATTCTGAAGAAAGTGAGTTTCTCAACTTTACACCCCCTTCCCAAGGTAGCTCCTAAGTAGGAAGAAATTTGAATAGATCTCTAAAACTTAGGAGGAAGAAAGTGCTTCTACCTAATGTTTATTATCTCCATTTCCTTGGTCACCTGAAACAAAGTTAAACCTATTAATGAGAGAACAGAAATTAACAGAGATGTTTTCAATGGTCTCAGAAGATTAATGCCAGTTGGAAAAATCAGCTTCTGCTGACTTCCTTCTATTGCTGCTTCTCTATTTCAAAGTCAGTGATTGTATTCCTGAAACTAAAAATTGAAGTTAACATATTAAAAAATAAACAAATAACTGATTTGACAGAGGCAACAATTATTTGCTGTGCTCAAAAAATCAAATATGCACAAACAAACTACCTACCAATCTCCATAATATTAAGCTTTTTGGGGGGAAAGAGGACATAAGAAAAAGAATAGCATATCTTACAAGATATTTTCCCAAAGAATGTCATCAGATACCTGGATCATATTACCATATGTGGTGGACATGCACAGAAACTAAAAGATATTGGACAAAAATACATACATGGTTGGAAAATATGATAAAACAACATATATACTTAAAGCCTGAGATATTTTTATCGGGGATTCTACCTGACAATTATAGTAAAGAAAAATATATTTAATTATGCATATATTAACTGCAGAATTGTATTTGCTCAAAATTGGAAAAGTGAAAAGATTCTGATGAAGGAGGAGGTGATTAAGAAAATATTGGAATGTGCAGAAATAAGTAGGTTAATATTGGCAATTAGAGAACAAGAAGAAATGGAGTATTATGTGATTTGGGATCTATTTTATAAATGGTTGGAAAATAAAGTAAGAAATTAAATGATATCATTATAATAAGATATAATGTTGAATAGGTTGAAATATGAATGTAAACTTAATAAGAAATGTATACAAATATTAATATGTGCACAAGATACACTGTATAACTAAAAGATGTTTTTTTTTAAAAAAAATAAAAATAAAAAACTTTTTGGAAAAAAAAGATAGCCAAGCAAAGCCAAGAAAAAGTTTTTCAAAATTCCAGTTCCTAAACATTATACCCAATTCTAACAAAGTTGGAGGAAACTTTCTTGCATACCAGAGTGAATGTTCATTTTCCTTATTAGCAAATTCACCTGAAAAACAAACACTGGGATTGTAAAGACATTTGTTTAGTAAGAATACAATGCCATCCAAAGTTGAATCTGAAGTTGTATCCACCTACAAATGAAAAGCAAGAAATCAAAATTTACTTACATATTGGTGATATTTCCTCCCCTTGGAGGCACCTGAATGAATTGAAGTTGACCAACTATGATTCACTCTGCAGCGGCTATTGCAGTGAGATCTTTCCTCTTTGCTTCTTGTCAGCCAATATTTGGCCAAAGATTGAGTACCTTGGCAGTAGAAGACTGCTGCACTTAAGCAAGTCCCAGCACTCAACTAAGTCCGTAACTCTCGTCCTCCGCTTTATAAGCTGAAATTTGTCCTTCAGAAAAACAGTACTTGCAAATATCTACATTCAAAGATTCTTAACGAGCTAAAACAGATTAGATGCGGAATTACAGTACTAGGAAAAGCTTGTCTAGGCAATATTCCAAGGCTACAATGGTGACAAAACTATCTTTCCTTACTGTCACAATGCAGAATCAACATGATAATGTATTTTATTTTGATTTAGAGATACGATCCGTTAACTTTTTTTGCCAATGCTTCCTAAAATGTGGGCCATAAGCCACAGGAGCTGCAGTTACTGTAGAGGGTCCATGGACTTTTTGCCTGCAATGAGATGGAAAGGAGAAAAATACTGTCTACGTCTAGGAGAATACTAGAGAGAAATGGGAAGCAACAGTATCAGACCATATTCCCTTTAGGTTGTACATATGTGCTACTGTATACATTATTTACTGGCATAAGGTTTGCCAAGAAGACCATATAGAGTTACATATATTAGTTAATAATTATTATATTACTAACTATTCCTTCCTTTGGCTTACTCTGTAAATCCCTTTCTCACTCCACTCAGCAGGGTCCCATTTTTTGAGGTCCTGTGTGTTGGCTCACAGGCCTAGCTCTTAGATCCATGCAGAGAAGAAGGGAAAGGTGCCCATTCTACAGAAGCAAGCAAGAATTTACAAGTAGTTCCAGTTTAGCAACCATAATTAGAACCAACAACTTGGTTGTTAAACAGTCATTAAGTGAAACTGCAACTATGTTCATGATCTTTCTTTAGTTGTCTTTGGCTTTGCAGTCCTATAAAGGTTATAATGTGATGATTGTTTTAAAGTTACTTTTTCATCACTATCATAACTGTGAACAGTTGCTAGATAAGGTGGTTGCTAAACAAGGACCATCTGTAATTAGTTCTACTATTGCTGTGATCCTGATACAAATATGTAGATCAGACTCAGCAGTTATTATTTTTCAGAGCAAACATCACCATCAGAGGAGGGATTTTTTTAATGAAGGAAAAACTGGCTGATTTGAGGTTTTAATGACAAATTTGTGTATGCAAATTCTGGTT